TAGTTCATGAAAAAGGGGAGATCAAAGAAGGAAAAAATTTCACTATGTAACAACGCATACCTTCCATTCATCACCACCACTTCAAGAGGATTGTTTTGTCATCTCCTATTAAAACTTCATTGCTACGATAGTGTTGTTTGTTTACCCTGTTTACAACGTTGCTTATTTGCACAACTGTTGTATATCACTTGTAAATTTTTTATCAACTTTGTTAATTATTTTTTTAATTTATTTAGATCATATTTTTTATTCCTTCATTTACTCTTTTTGTTTTGCTTTTGATGTTGGTATACATGTATCAATTCCATTGTATTTCATTCTTTAGAAAGGATCATTTAAAAAAAAAAAAAGCTTATAATTAGCTGTTATTCGTTTATTTAAGTTTTAGGTTTTTTTAGCCCTTAATTTGCTTCTAAAAAAGAGTGGTAGTGAAGGTACGCATGCACGTATTTATTTTCTTTTGTTTTTTATTTAAAATTAAAATATATAATAAAAATAAAATATGATATTTTTTTTATTATAATATAAAGACTTTTCCTTTGTGGCATTTATAATTATAAATAAAAAAATAATACTTCAACACATGCAATAATTTATAATATTAATTGAGTAGTAATTTTAATTTTAATTTTTTAAAATTATAAAAGTTTATAAAATAGTTATTTGTTATCATGAACTTTATACACAAGTCAAAACAAAAGTTCTTTGTAAATGAAAATTTCTTTAAAAATTGATTCAAGATGCAACATTAATATTATTAATTAAATAACATTTTTATTTTTAATATTATTTGTTTATGAAAATTTAATGATTAATTATTTGTTGACTTAAATTTGTGTGTAAAGATATTTTTTTTTAGATAAAATACATAAAAATGAAAATTGTCTTCTTATAAAATATTAAAAAAAAATTGCAACTGATAACACCAATTAAATAATAATTCTATTTTTATAAAAGAATTTAATAATTAATCATTTAAACGTTTAATTGTATAAGTAATTTTTTTTCTCTCCTTAAATAAAAATACAAAAGACACTACAACAAAATTTATTTTTAATGACAATTATTTAATGACAATAATTTAATTGCCACCATATGTAAAAATATTAATGGCTAATATATAATAGCCACTAAAAATATATTTATATTACACTAAAGTTTACTATTAGCGACAATTATTTAGAAAAAACTTAAGTCCCACATTGATTAGAGATAAGATAATTAAATAGTATATAAGTGAGTAATAACTATCACCTTACAGGTTCATTTTATAGGGTTGACTCCTAATTCACTATTCTAAATTGGTATCAAATCACTCATTGTTACCAACTTCAATAGTGCTATAAAACAATTAGAGACCAACTTTGACCTTATAAATCTCACATCGCTTAAAAGACAACATAATTAAAAAATATATAAATAAAAGACAACTCTCATCTTACAAATCTCATATCGAGTAGAGATAAAAAAGTATATAAGTTATGAATTTAGAAAATGAAATTATAGGAATATATAAATTATTTAAAGTAAAGGAGACAATTGAAAAAAATAACTTTTAATAGCCTTTAAAATGGCTACTAGAATTGCCACTAAAAAAATAAGTTTTTCCGACAATTTAGTAGATCTTTACCGGCATTTTATATAAATGTCGGTAATAGTATTAGCGACACTGGATACACCAGCCATTAATTAAATGCTGGTAAAAAAATTATGACCATTTATATAGCCGCTAAATAATAAGTTAATTGCCACAAAAAACTAGTTTTGGTGTAGTGAGAAAAAGTTATTTTTCATTATTAAAAAATATAAGGTCAAAAGATATTTCTTAGAAATAAAATAAATATACATAAAGTTATTAATTTTATACTTTTTTAATAAACATTATAAGATTTTAATATCCTCTTTACACGTAATCCACTTTAACTTTAAAAACTACTTCTTTAAATGATTTTTCAATGTCTTTTCTTTAAAACTAAAATATTGGTCACGATTTGATTAAAAAAAATGGATATAATATTCTTTACTTTGGTTTCCTTTTCTTTTTCCATGTATTTCTCAACAAAGGCACAAAGCATCCAACACTTTCCACGACACTTTTCACCACCAAGCCATAGTTGCATCCGACTTAAAGTAGAAAGGATACACTTTCACACTCAATCATTGTTTTTTTTTTTTTTTCTTTTTTCTCTCTCACTCATGTTCATCACTCAACATTAATAAAAAGGATAAATTATTATATAATTCTAATCACATGATTTTTAATTTCTTATAATTTTAAAAATTTAAATACATGTAGTAATTGACAAAGACTATAAATAATTAAATACTTGACGATCTTAACTATCTAATAATTTTTAGTTTCTAACTGACTAGTTATCATTTTCTTAAGTCAACCCCTTTATAAATTCTTCAGTGCATCATTTATTATTGTTGTTTTTATTAATTACTACTCTTTCACGAATCTTCCACGAAAGTTACGTAACCAAGGATTTCATTTACTTACTCGGGTCAAGATTTTACATGCACCGTCCAATCCTTTAAGTCGTTTAGACAAAAAAAAAAGTCATAATGTTACTATATTTGTCAATAATTTATAAAGAAATAGATGAACAGTACTGTAAATATATTTAGTGAATATTGTTAGTGTAATTTTTTTATGCATGAGTTTATAGGTGTTTTTATTATTTTGTTTTTTTTTCCTTTTTACTCTCTCACCTTATTAATTCAATCCCTGTCAAATTATAAAATTTTGATATATATTCTATTTAAACAAAAAACATTTTAGGTCAGATCTATTATTCAAACTTTTCTAATCATGCCATCAGTTATCAACGACCAATATTAAAAAAAAACCTTATATATTTTTATTTATTTATTTGACATATCTATGTAACATTTTAAGTAAATTACACCAATACTTCATGAGATTTTGTGAGATTATAGATAAACTTCTATTTTTTTCACACGATTCTAATTCTCTTTAATTATTTAAAAAAAGATGACAATGATATATTGTTTGTCTTTACTATCATAATTAAATATTTTTAAATTTATACAGTTTTCTATTTTATCTTTTAGTGTGGTCAAATATTACTTATGTACAAAAATAAAAGTAAGTTATACATACAAATGGTATTTGCTTAATTGTTAGTGTAGTTATAATTTATTATTTATTTTATCCAATCAGGAGTTAAATAGCTTTAGTATTTAAGTACATGTTCTAACACTTTTAATATGTATAAAATTAAATTAATGACTCAAATATAACAAACTAGTTTTTCTTCCTTTTTTATGTGAAGTTATAGATTTTTTAATTTCAACCCATTATGTTTGTGTTTAATCATATACTTCTCTTTTATGTTTGGTTTTCAGTAATATCCTTTAAATATTGCATTAACTCCTCTTATTTTTTTTTTAAAATATTGCATCATGTTGCTTGTGAGGATTGTTGAGCTAAACATTAATTAAAAAGTAAAAAGGTTACGTCCAATTTTACGACACTTCACAAATATTGGTATAATTTACTCGAACATCTTTTAAATCATAAGAAAAGTAATAGCAACCTAAGCCATAGAATGAGTCCTTTTCTATTTGATTAATTAGAATTATAATGACACAATATAGTTCGAAAATAGAATAGTGTAGATATATATTATTTCAATCCTCATCATTAGGCAAACTTAATGATTTTCTATAAGATTGAATCTTAAATAAGATTTATTTAAGGGCTATATTATACTTACTAGAATCGATTTAGTGAGTCGCCATTATAGTTTGCACATACTCCCAAGTTAGAACTTTATTGCTGTCAGTATAGATCTATATTAGAGTAAATTCAATGCTTTAGTACCTCATGTATTCACTATTCATTAAATTATAGTGATAGTCTGATAGATCTAGCCAATTATACAATTTACGTCCTTGCAATTTGTACATAATTCAATGTTGTATTTCCATAATATAAAAAAAAAAATTGTTTTACGTATTTAGGTCACTAATAATATATTTAATAATAATAGATTAAAATAATTATACACTATTAATTAAATTTAATATAATATTTTTACTAATAAAAATATTAACAGGTAAATATTGTTTGACAATATTTAACAGCTTTACTTATGAAATTTGAACATAAAAAATAAAATAAGAATTTTTTAAATCATGAAAAAATATTAACTTTAAATTTGAAAGATTAAAAATAAATTTATCCAAAATTTATAAGAATAAATCATATTTAAGTTTAAATAATAAGTAGGAAAAAAGTATTTAACTTTCTTAAATTTCATTATTTTTGTAAATAGATATCATAAACTTTAAACTTATTTCAATTAATCCTTAAATTTTATCTTGTTAGTAAATAGACACCGTAAACTTTAATTTTATTATAATTTATCTTTAAATTTTATCATTTTACAAATAAACATCTTGATTATAATTTTATCATTATTAATTATTTTTTGTAAATCTCTTATATTACATTGATATTAAATTACTAAAATAAAAAATATTAATTATTTATTTATTTTAATCACACTTATTTATTATTATTTTTTTGCTATATATATAAATATCATGATTTAGAAGAAGAAATAATCAAATAAAAACCTCTTTTTATCGTTTTTATCATTCTTTTTTTATTTTTTCTAAACGCATATTTTTATTATATTTTGACAAAAAAAATAATTGTAACATAAAAAGAAAAAATAATGATGATTAAAATTTAAGATAAATAATTTAAAATATGAAAACTTTGTAAAAATAATAAGTTATCATCAATTAAAATAAAATTAAAGTTGAGAATGTTTATTTATAAAAATAAAATAAAATTTAAAGATTAATTGAAATAAAATTAAAATTCATGATATTATTAAGATTGATTAAAATAAAATAAAAGTTTATAATACCTGTTTATAAAAAAAAAATTAGGTAGCTAATTACACACTTCTCTTATAAGTATTACTATCATTAATATTTTTGACTTGACTTTGGAGTGGTTGTCCAGCTGGTTCGCATATCTCCTTGTACTCATATTCAATATACATTGTTCTTGCAAATCTCCATGTAATCAAAATCACAGACGCAAGCAATTCAATCATTGTACTATTGTAACACTACTCTACTATATATCAAAATTCTATAATCTCTTACCATGGCTCTGGAACTTGTTGCTGGACCTTTAATGGGAGCTGTTTTCAACGTGTTGCTTGAAAGGATAGCTTCTGCCGAGGTTGTCAACTTCTTCAAGAACAAAAACTGTGACAAGTTGCTCAAAAGGTTGAAGATCATCTTGTTGTCAGTGAATGCTGTGCTCACCGATGCTGAGGAGAAGCAAATGAAAAATGAAGCAGTGAAGGAGTGGCTTGAGGAACTCAAAGATGTGGCCTTTGCTGCTGAGGACCTACTTGATGAGATCTTCACTGATGCAAAAATCAAGGCAAAAGAGGTAAACACACTCCACTCCACTCCTATGAGTTTTTATGATAAAGGGGTTGAAGAGAAAATTGAAGATGTTCATGAGAGATTAGAGTTTATTATAAGACAGAAAGAAGTGCTTGATCTCAAGGTGGGTAAGGAAGTCAAAATGGCACACAAGACACCAACTTCATCTGTGATGGAAGCATCTGATGTGTATGGAAGGGATAGTGATAAAGAAGCCTTAGTGAACTTGGTGTTGTCACATGATGAAAACATAGGTGTTATTCCCATTGTTGGAATGGGAGGAATTGGAAAAACCACCTTAGCTCAACTGATATTCAATGATCACAGAGTGCAGAAGGAGTTTGATCTCAAGGCCTGGATTTACGTCTCTGAAGAATTTGACATTTATAAGATTACAAAAAACCTTTTGGAGGTTCTCACATGTCGTAGTTGTGATATCGAGGATTTGAATTTTCTCCAGAGGGATCTCAAAATGTATATGATGAAGAGAAAGTTTTTGTTTGTGCTGGATGACGTGTGGAACGAAAATTATGAAATTTGGGACAAGTTCAGGAATCCATTTAAACATGCACGGGCACATGGAAGTAAGATTATTGTAACTACTCGAAGTGGGTGTGTTGCATCCATCATGCAGACTATTTCACCTTATAATCTCAGTGAGTTGTCCAATGAAGATTCCTGGAATTTATTTTCAAAACATGCATTTGATTATGGCAATTCATGTTTGCATCAAAGTCTAGACAAAGTTGGGAAAGAAATTGTTAGAAAGTGCAAAGGATTGCCTTTGGCTGTGAAGACACTTGGAGGTCTTTTGAGGTCTAAAAGTGAAAGGCATGAATGGTATAAAGTATTGAACAGTGAGATATGGGATCTGCAAGATTCTCAGAGTAACATTCTTCCAGCTTTGAGATTGAGCTACCATTATCTCCCTTCCCATTTGAAGAGATGCTTTGCTTATTGTGCAATTTTCCCAAAAGATTATGAATTTGAAAAGGAGAACCTGATTTTGTTGTGGATGGCTGAGGGTTTTCTCCAATTATCAAAAAGGCATAGAAGAATTGAAGAGGTCGGAAATGAGTACTTTTGTGAACTAGTATCTAGATCATTTTTCCAGCAATCAAGGCGCAGCAAGTCATGTTTTCTAATGCATCAACTTGTAAATGACTTGGCTCAATTTGTATCAGGATCATTTTCTGTCAGAATGGAAGGTAACAATTCTAATGAAATCAAAGAAAGAACTCGCCACTTGTCCCATATTATTGCTGATAGTTCCTCATATGTAAACCTGAAAGATGTCAGCAAAGCAAATTGCCTACGCACTTTTATGCAAATAAGACCAATAGGTACATCCATTGACTTGTTCAACAACATGCCAAATGATCTTTTATCAAAGTTAAGGTCCTTAAGGGTGTTATCTTTGGTAGGTACACCTATCTATAGTTTACCTGACTCAATAGGTAAACTAAAACATCTGCGCTATTTAGAAGTGGCTGACACTGAGATCATGAGGTTACCTGAATCCATCTGCAGCTTGTACAATTTACAAACTCTCAAGTTAGTTGGATGTCACAAGCTTATTGAACTGCCTACAGGTATTCATAAGCTTGTTAACTTGCGCTATTTGGATATTACAGGAACTTTTTTAAGGTGGATGCCATTGCAGATGAATGAACTAACAAGCCTCCAAAATTTGAGTGACTTTTTTGTGGGAAAGGAACACGGATCTTCCATCGGTGAATTAGGCGAGCTTTCGAGTTTACATGGAGAATTGTTCATTCATAACATTGAACATGTTAACTATAAGGATTGTGAAAAGGCAAAGTTGAAGGAAAAGCATGGTCTTGAAAAGTTGTCTTTGGAATGGTGTGGAAATGGTGATACTGATAACTCTCAGCAAGAAAAGAACATATTGAACAGCCTGCAACCACCTACAAATTTGAAGGAGCTTGATATCTATGACTATCCAGGCACAGAATTTCCACATTGGTTGGGGGATCACTACAACTTGGTGTCTTTACAGCTTAAGGGTTGTAAATATTGCTACAAATTGCCTCCACTTGGACAACTTCCAATGCTGAAAGAGCTTCAGATTAGTAAATTTGAGGGACTAGTGAGTGTTGGAGCTGAGTTTCTTGGAAATAGAACCTCTTCTGCAACTGATAGCTTTCCTGCACTAGAAATTCTGAGGATTGAGTATATGTCAGCATGGGAGAAATGGTATCCTGATGCTGAAAATGCAGGCAGCAGAGCTTTCTGTCATCTTAGAGAGCTTCACATTGAAAACTGTCCCAAACTGAGAGGAGATTTACCAGGAAACCTTCCATCTTTGACATTACTTGTAATCAGAGATTGTAAACGTTTGATTTGTTCGCTTCCTAATGCTGCGGGTCTTCGCGTGTTGAACATTCAGAATTGTGAGAATCTAGAGTTGCCAGTACATGCACCTTGGTGCCACCAATCACTGACATCATTGTTCTTGCATGGTAGTTGTGACTCACTCATGTTCTTGCCTTTGGATCTCTTCCCCAACCTTAAGTCCCTGGATATTTGGGGATGTAAAAATCTTGAAGCACTTACAGTTTCAGCATCAGATGCAAGTGCAACCCCTCAAAATTTCAGTTCTCTCCATTCCTTGTGCATAAGGCATTGTCCAAATTTCACATCATTTCCCAAGGGTGGACTTGCAGCCCCTAAGCTCACTTTGTTAACCATCAACTATTGTGACAAGTTGAACTCTCTGCCTGAACAAATGCATGACCTCATGCCAAGCTTGAAGGAAGTTCAATTGAGGGGCTGTCCCAAAATTAAGTCATTAACTGAGAGGCCACTCAGGATCCGGATTTGCAGCAAACTCATGGAAGGGAAACAGAACCACTCTGATCCTCTCTTTGCAAGTTTGCAGGGCTTGGCCACTGATCAAAGCCCCTCATCAAGTTAGTCACACCACCCGGGTTCAATGCATTCAATGTAAGCAACCACAAGCCACTAGATGAAACAAATTTGTAGGAAAGTGTGCCTTGAGGGTAATCATAAATCATCACCAGTTAGATGATTAGCAATGATTTTGACGAGTCATAGCTTGTTTCTATTAGAATTATAGTATAAAACCATTCGCCTATCTTCACTTAATAACTATAGCTTTTAGAATAGTTGCTTCATAACATTAGGTCTGATTGATTGGATAAACTTCTTCAAAAGTACTCTTAGTAAAAAAAAATAAGAAAATAAATTAAAATAATTTTTTTCATAAACTAAAATTAGTTTATATATAAGTTAAAAGTAATATTTGAAAGAGCTAATACAAGATAACTTCTGCACATTAAGCTTATGCAATAGACAATTTTAGTTTATAAAGAAATTTGTTTTATTTTTTTTTTCTCCTTATTTTTCTCTCCTAAAAGGGCGTCTAGAGAAATTTACCCAAATAACCTTTAGGACAACAAAGAGCTTAGAGGAGCTGAAGCAGGTCTTTGAAAGTTCTAAAACTGTAAAATGAGAACGTCCAAGTAAATATCATCACTTTTTTATGGTCAGACAACAGAAGCAATCTCCCATATGCAAGGGAATTTTCCTTTGTTTTCCTACTTATCAATAATAGAATAAATAAACTACTAGTATTGAAATTTTGTTCTCGCTAAAATGCCAGCCCCCTTCATTGAGATCTTAAGTCAAACAGATAAGTAATTTGTGAAATGATATAGATCATTGGATTAATAATACTAGGAAATGCAGACTTTTCAAAGGATACGTGCGGCCATAAATAATTTATGTTTATCTGTTTCTTGAAACATACAAGGAGTTGTCACTGACTCTAAATTGAGCAGGAATAAATTTGTACTCAATCAGTTGATAAATCTATTTGTTGTTTCATAAGATGCCTCTCATTAATTAAAATTAAACAGCATAATCTTTATCTGTTTAGTAGTGTGGATACTCATTTAACGAGTATCCATAAACTTTATATATATCCGTGATACCTACAAATATATGTAGATATTAGTTAAAATATAAAATTTTAAATAAAAAATAAGAAATAAAAATAAATAATTTTATAACATATCTTTATAAATTATGACATGTATTTATTAAAAAAATAAATTAAGGCAAATTATTTTATACATAAGTAATAATATTTTTAAAGTGTGAGTACCACATGTAGGGATACTATCTACCCAACTCTATTATTAAGTTATTACTCATTTAATTATCCATTTATCCATGGTGGGTATGGGTTGCCATCTAGCCACATAATCTTTATTTGTCAATAGAGGTTTTAAGTTTCTACCATTTATATGAAAGTCATGTTTTTCTCAACCAGCTTATTTTTCCCTCATTTTGTAGGAGATAAAAAAAGTATAAAAAGCTTCAATATAGTAATAGATCCGTGATAAACCACATTTATGAGAGCATTTTTAGTGGAGTTGCTTATATAAGTAACCTTTTGTGTCACATCATATCACATTAATTTTTTTTCATTTTTTTTAAGCACGGGAACTTCTATAAGTAATTTTGCTAAAATTTAAGCAACTCATAAACAATGAAAAGAGTTGATATGGCATGATGTGACACAAGAAGTTGCTTATAAGCAACCCCCATTACAGATGCTCTGAGAAGCAAGAAGTATCTGTTCAGGTTTGGAAAGCATAAGAATAGATGAATTGAAAATCAAAATTATTATGTCAATGGCAATTTCCACTTCTTTCACTTATGTAATCAAACATTTATTTTGAAATACATTCACGGTCTGAGGTCGAAGTTGTATCTCTTGTATACCTTACTATTTTTTGAGAATCTGTATTACTTAATCCTCGTTGTGTTTTAGCTGCCAAAAAAAGTTGGCACTGTTCAGTAACCAATTATTCTGCATGCTGAATGAAGGTGGGGTTTATGCTTGTGGATATTTTTATTATATAGCTAGAGATTTTGTGGAGCATTGACCAAACTACTATTGAAATATTGTCCACCTTCAAATCAATACATATTGCCACTTTCAGGATGAAATTATATAAGCTCATTTGTTTAAACTTATTTTAAAGAAAAATCACTTGATCTATTAAAACAATCAATTTTCTACTCTCTTTTTTTTTTTTTTAAATAAGTGATTTCTATCTGTTTTTTAAGAGATTACTTTTTAAAAAAAGTATTTTTTTTGCAATCGTTTTTTCAAAGTGTAAACAAACGGAGCATGGTCTTAATAAAATTGTGCTTGCCAATGAGCACCAAGGGAGGAGGGTTGTTCACATAGTACATTATGCCTCCATGATAAGTGGGTTCACTTTGCATTTGTGTCCATTGGTACTTAGCCACGACCAAAAATAAAGAATATTTTTTAGTAAAAAAACTCTTAAAAATATTTTCAAACTTGTATCCAAACAGACTCTCAAGTGAATTTGCTATTTTGAAAAAATCACTTCTTTAAATTCATTTAAACAAATATGAATTGGTTTAAGTGAACTTACATGTAATCAACCAAAGGTTACTAACACAAATCCACTTAAGCAAGTCTAAGAGTACTTAAGTGAATTTGCAATGAATAATAATCAATGTTGCCTCAAATTTGTTTAAGTAAAACTAAAATGGCTTAAGCAAATTCACAAAATTATAAAATTTCTCTTCGGACTAAATTCACTTAAACGAAGAAAAACGATTTAAGTAATCTTTCTTTATGCTCTAAACCAAGTTATTATCATGACTTTTTTTCTTTTTTGCGTTAAATTTATTTATTTTTTCCATTACATAAGAATTTTTTTAATGAGATTACTCATTTTTCTTGTAGACACAAACAAATAATTTCAATTTTCTCTATTGTTTATTATCATGATAAAAAAAATCAAATTATCACTATATTTATTCTTTTTTTATTTTTTTTTCTTTTCCAAGTGTAGGAACACCCCAATGGAGTTGGAAATCTGAATCGAATTAGTCCCATGTTCGGGATGTCAACACAAATAAAAGGGATGTTTTGAAGTTTTGGAGGTCCCTCTTACTCTTCTCTCTCGCAACTCTAAAACAAGGCACCTTTGTTGGGAACATGAAGGATTTCCTAGATTCCGACGACCGAAGAATGGCAATTTTGACTTCATTTCTTCGAATTTTGTTATAATCTTGTGATTTAGTTCTCCTAACAAAGAATAGTGGATCTTTTTCTTTTGGGATTTGATGTAATTTACTAAACTTTAATGTAGTTTTTGATTTTCATAATATAATGTAGTTTTTTATTTTCATTTTATATATTGTTCCTGCGTAGAAACACTTCTCTTGTTGTTCTTCCTTCTTGGTCTTCTAAGTCTTAGGTGCCGACCGAATACTGTCTCCGAGGGGTGGGGGAGGGTACCTGCAAAGGCACTCCGACGATCAAGTAAGTATTCGGTTCAGAGCAATAAAGGCTTTATATTGGATAATAACGTACCTCATTTATGTCCCATCACCTGTGTATTTATAGTGACATGAGTGGGCCTGGTGGGCCTTTTATTTTGGGAGATGGGTAACATTTTAATTAACCTTAATCTTCTCTTAATCAGGCATGGTAATTATTGCATAATGGGTATGTAATTTGCCACGTGTTTTATGTGGGTTCTCCTTGCCTTAAGTCTTTGGTCAAGCCTAAGGCCGACGAGGTACTCGGCCTGGTCTAGGCCCGAAGGGGTATTCGGCCTGATCTGGGGCCGAGGGGATGTTCGGCCTGGCCTGGAACCGAGGGAGTATCCGGCTAGGTCTAGGACCGAGAAGGTATCCGACTAGGTCTAGGACCGAGAGGGTACTCAGCTAGGTCTAGGGTCGAAGTGGGTATTCGGCTTGGTCAGGAATCGAGAGGGTATTCGGCTAGGTCTAGGACTGAAGTGGGTATTCGGCTTGGTCAGGAACCGAGAGGGTATTCGGCTAGGTCTAGGACCGAAGTGGGTATTCGGCTTGGTCAGGAACCGAGAGGGTATTCGGCTAGGTCTAGGACCGAAGTGGGTATTCGGTTTGGTCTAGGGCCGAAGGGGTCTCTTTCGATTTTGGTGTGTTCGACCTTTGACCGGGTCAAAAGTGGGTGCCAACTGGTATATATATATATATATATAATATGATCTCTTCTCATTATTAATAATTTATCTTCGTAAATCTTGAATTGAAATTAATTACCTAATATTTTGAGTTGCTATGAATAGGATGTATGTATGATTATTAAGATTACAAAGAAGAGGAGATGGATGAATATCGATTGCAAGCTTCTCAATTATTGAATTTTATTACTTTGCTATCGTTTTGTGTATGCAATTTTACTTAAGTCCAAATTCTATTCCCAATTACGTTAAACGAATGAAAAATTATGAATATGTTTGTGAATAGGAAATTAGTTGGTTTAATTAATATAATTGCAGATCAATGAAGTGCATGTGAATACGACGACTTTATTATTTATTGTCCACAGTAAACTTTGGTATATTTTTTAAAAGACCAACATATGTTGGTATTCAAGAATTATATACACACATGTATGTATTTATAGGCATGTGTGGATATTGTCAAAACATAAATTTTAAAACAAAAATATAAAAAATAAATAAATAAATAAACTAAAAAATTATAAAATATATATCTATATTTAAAATAATATTTTTACATATATTTGTACTAAGAATAAATAATTTTAAAATATATTTATACCAAAAATGAATTTATATAATTAAAATTATTTTTTAGTAATTTTAAAGTGTAGATAAAGGGGTGTAAGAGGGTTATATTTGGTTGAATTTGGATGGGTTTGTTACTCGATCTGATCAAAACTCAACAAGTTGGATTGGATCGAATTTGTGTATTTTTTTTTAAATCTAATCCATTCATAAACTAGTTAGATTGGGTCAACAACATAACTAAATTTATTTATTTTTTAAAATAAATATTTTAAAATAGATGTAAATTCTTTATCTTCTTTTTCTATATAGTGTCCTTTTTTTATTAGGTCAAGTCAAGTTTAACCCGAACACTAATGGTGTGTTTGGGGGGAGGTGATGTGGAGAAAAGAGACATTATAAGGAAAAGTTGAATAATGTTTTTAAAAAATTTGCACTTTTTCGCCAAACAATGAAGTAGTAGTATAACAAATGGGAAAGGGCAAATGAAATAAAGAATGAACTCATAAATCTATACTTGTTCGTCTCAACCACTAAGAATGTGTCCAATTTCTTATCCAACTAAATCAAATTTCAATATTTTAACAAAGATACAAGTATTCTTTATCAAGTCACTTATCGGTCAACCTTAAGTATTACATATCTCTTCAAGCAACTACCTAAGTATTTTTTTTACACAAAGTCTCTCTAGACTTCAATACCAAATATTCTTTTACAAACAAACCTCTTCAAGGTCAAGCAACGAGTATTCTTTTACAGGTAAGCATCTCCGAGATCAAACACAATAACTCAATGTATAAATGGTTTACAAAGTTGTTTCATCTTCCTTTCAAGATGTGATACAACAATTTAAGTACAAAGTTGATTACAAAAAAAATGAAGAAATAATGTTTCATTTTTTAGATTTTTGTCTCTTCCTTTTTTGATCTTCAAACTTCCTTTTATAGGACTTCAATGAAGATGACTATTACAAATTATTGAACTTCTTTCTTAGAGCTTGTTTTGTCTATCTTTACAATTTTCTTCTTGAGGAGAGAAGTTTTTGCTGATATAATAAATATTTTCATTAAATATTTTCACCAAATTGTCACTTCTTATCTTATTAAAGAAGCTACTTATCACCTTTTGGGTACCAACTAGGTACAACCATGCATGTATCAAGACGTTGTAGTGATGAAACAACTTTTGACTGCAACTTTTCATGTGTTGTAGAGATCTGTTTGTCCTTTTCTGATACAAAACATGTTTTTCTATCCTTTTTGTAGAACATTGATACTAAGAAATTATTTTTAATTTCAATCTATTAAGGAAACATTTAGAAGTAGTTAATTTCTTATTTAAAGACCATAAATGATAAAGATTTATTGTATATAACTTTTTTATAATTAAGGGTTAATCTTATTCAATAATAGAATTGTCTTAATATATCTTTCATCTTACTGACAGATTGTGACTTAGAAGGTTTGTCTTAGTCCTTTTGAAAACTTTATACTATTGATCAAGAGATTCTTTGTTTGTAACATCAAAACATAAAATCAGAGAGGGATATAAAATTATCTTTTGACATAACAAGTGATTTAGTAAGGAATAGAGAAGAGAGGGGTCATTAAGGAATTAAAAAAAACGTGAGTTTGGAAGAGATGATTTAAGTGAATTTATGAGAAAATTATGGTGAGACCATGTGGATTTAATTCCACTTTATTAAGGTGGATTTGTATGAAATTTTTAACCAAAAAATACATGGACAAGACTACTCCTACACTATTGTCTAAATAAATAGTTAATATAGGGAAAAATGTAATTATTAAATAATATATTTTTACATAAAAATATAATTATGTAAAATATATTTTAAAATACCTATTTTTTTTATTTCTCACTTAATTTCACTCTACCAAACAACTATAAATTTCGCACTATTTCTTACATATTTTCTATCAAATCAATTCTCATCTATTATCTTCCATTTCCCTTAATTCTTTCCCTTCTCCCGAAAAAAGCATAAAAAAAATTAAATCTGAATCCATTGGATTGATTTTGCTCAGTTCATGTTCGCGAATTAGTCATACGTGCTTACAATCCTTATATACATGCAACATGGTTCCTTACTACTAGTCCTCACCCAATTAATAAGTGGATACTAATTTAATTATCTATTTTTAATTCATAGCATATTTTTTTAACAAATATTTATGAGTACAAATTTTTTTATCATCCTTAATCAAAACACTCTTGGGGTCTAAAATTTTTTTTAAATGTATTTTATATTCCCTTTAATTTTTTCAACAAAATTAAATTATTTCTTTAAATTAAACAAATTTGGTCTTATGTTTGTTTTTTCTACTAAGTCCCTCTTTTTTTATAATATATTAGGGATAACTTGAATGCAGTATAATATAATTAAATATCCTTAAAAAAAATCTTTGAAAAAAACTAATTTAGATTAATAATATATTTGGAATAACTTTGCGAAATTGCGTGAATCATTCCACAAACTAAAAAAACTAACTAGTTTGCCATATACTTTATCTCTGGAAAAAAAAATCAGTTTCAAGATGAGAAGAATGATAAGAATATACACCATGGATCTTAAAGTAAAGCATTGAATATAATATTAAAAAAAATAAGATATAACAACAGATCATATTATATCATATAATATGATCCATTAATTTAAGACTTCACATATATTTTATTTATTTGTGCCGTAAAATTAAAAAATAAATAAATAAAGTATTTCACTAAGAAAATTAAATAATAATAATAATAAGAGTTAATAAATAAATAAAATATAACATAATTTTAATATTATAATTTAATTACTGTTAGTATTTATAATATTATTACATGGGAAATGAAAAATCTACCCCTTAAAACTTCAAATTGAAATTCAATAATTCAACTTGTTACGAATGTAATTAATTCTTAGACCACATAAGATTTGGTAAAGATAATGTTTAGTTGATCACTAGAGTTGATGAAACTTGTAGTGATTTCTTGACTCAACTTTTTTTATGATTAAGAAGCAATCAACATCAATATATTTGGTTTTCATATAAAAGACGAAAATGGATACAATATGTAAGACAACTCGATTATCACAAATCAGTGTCATTAGAGCCATGACCTTGTGTTGTGCCTCAATGCTTGATATCGTCGTAACATTTTGTTTCTTGCTCTACCAAAATATTAAGTTCCCTCCAATCAATACAGAATAGCAAGAGGTGGATCATCTGTAATGGGTGAACTTGCCCAATCAATATTTGAGTAGCCAACTATCCAAGCGTGTCTTGTACCATCATAGAACAGTCTTTTGTCAAGGAACCTATAATATATTTAAGGTTTGAATTACCACATCCCAATGGTCTTGGCAAAAAGAGTTCAGGAGGGGAATGACGACGATAAAAGAAAAAAGTGATCAACTTCACTACGAGTTAATCTAAACTATTGTACAATAGTACAAAATTTGTCAAACCAGACTCGAAGGGAGCTACTAAGTCTATACAAGGATCTATGAAAACGACAGACCATGGTAGAAGACTACCCTTAAGAAACAAATCTAAGTGGATGCTCCTGTACACTTTCTTGTCAATGTTAAAGTGTATATATTTAAATAAAAAGAATACATTTAAATAGAACGAATATTATTTAAATAGTGGGAACATTTAAATAGAAAGCATGGCCAAAATGGTGAGAACATCCTGCCCTTAAACCATACACCAAAAACTTATTTAAATAGAAAGAATACATGATTAGGAAATACTTTCAACATTTTCATGTTTAGTAGTGTAAAATAAATGGGTACATTCAATTCTGATTTTCAACAATTATATTGATATTTAAAAAATTATGACATAGTGAACATTTTAATTTTGGTATTAATTTATTTTTAAAATCAAAAGTAGCGAGAGAATACTAAAAGACATCAACAATCCATTAAGGGTATTATACCAAATCAATAGATTCTTTTTTTCAAATATTTGCATTACCAATAAAATATTTGTCGTGACCTATAACAATTGCAAAACTTATTCAAAATTAAGATTATTTAAATATTATATAAAATCAACGATGTTACAAGTAACAAGATACAATAGATGAATTAGACATCTTATCTATTAAGAAGGAAATGCTAGAATTACTTTATTATAAAATATTGATAACAATTTTACAATATAAAAAACTAGAAAATTAATATAAGTATGGATAATTAATATTTCACTAATCATATATGCCACTCCATTTCCTTCTTTTTGGAAAGTGTCAGCATGATGTAATTGAGAACTTAGATTCTGAAACATGCAACAAAGTCAATCTAGGGGGAACAAGTAGATCCCTTGACGATGAACCAGTAATTCTAAGGCAGTCAAGTGAAAGAACAAACATTACAAGGTTAAACACATTATTAGGATAGAAATTCACGCATACGAACAGGTCTTTTGACTGCATTAGTAAAGCCCTGCAAAGAAATGAATAAATCAATGATCATTTTATTATCATGTAATAAAAAAAGAGGACAGTGTTTACTTTTTTGTAAAAATGCATGAATAGATAAAAAAAAATAACTCTTTCAAATATGGTGACCAAGTACTACCACTCATCCTATTTTTAGGCATACTTCTCATAGCACCAAATGTTAATATGTAAAACAATAAGAACCAGTAGAAAAATTTGTATCAGTTAAAAGTTCGACATTGTGCTATAAATCAGTGTTTTAAAATCTGTTCGATCAAACTGTTAAACCAACCAGACCCCACTTTGATCCAGGGCAAACCTTAAAACCAGCCCCAAATGATGGTTCAACCGCCCAAAATTAACAGAAACAGACCAGTTTCAAAAATTGGTTCGTTTATGTGCAAGACTAAATTTGGGACTTAATTTACCGTAATTTAAAGACTTAACTAGCTTAAAAAAAGAGCAGCATAACGAACAAGATTAGTTGTAAGTGTGAATTTGATTCTATTTGGAAAATTGACACCTGTCTATCTTACTGAGAGAATGTTAGAACACCAATTCATAAAGTAATAAAATATAAAATTGAACACTGAATTACGCACAATACGGCAATACACTAGTTGTCTCAGGGACAAAAGTCTCCTACAGAGTCTTCTCTGTCTACAAACAGCAAAAAACATCACTCTTTCTAATTACATAACCTACTATCAAATATATTCTCTTAATACTAACTACCAGCGGTTATTTTCTATGCATAACTGCTATCTAATAGATTTGCTATCAGATATATACTTCTAAATGCTAATACATAACTGCCAGTAGTTATTTTTCATGCATTACTGCCATCCTGCAATTTCTAACAGAACTGCCTTCTAATAGATTTGCTATCCCAGAACCAGTTATTTTCTATCACATACACCAAATAATTAAATACTCCAATCCATTAGTGGAACTAACTTGGATCTTAGTTCACATTAGAGTATATGATTTTCCATAAAGCATATGCTAAAGATATGGATGTCTCAAATTTAGAAGAAATAATATTCTCTCTTATTGATTTATGAGGTTATTAAACCTCTATATATATACATGAATCTGCAGCCTATTTTAGGAAATATGGACAGTTAATTCTAAGGAGACAAATCCCTATGATTACGGGATTAATCTTGCATAAATAAATCTAATAATGGCAGCATAAGACTGTTACAGAAATACAGCATAGCAAATATAAAACTTCCTAAAATACACAACGCCAATCACGGTTTTGACACTCCCCCTCAAGCTGGTGAATAGGTGTTTTCCATTCCCAGCTTGGATATAATTCTTTCAAAGTGAGTGCAGTTCAGCCCCTTGGTGAGTATGTCTGCAAGTTGATTCTGAGTGGATACATATGGTGTGCAAATCATGCCACTGTCAAGTTTTTCCTTGATAAAGTGTCTGTCAACCTCGATATGTTTAGTTCTATCATGCTGCACCGGGTTGTGGGCTATGCTAATTGCAGATTTATTGTCACAATATAACCTCATAGGTTCATCCCACTTTATCTTCAAATCTTCCAATATAATCTTCAGCCATAGAAGTTCACATATTCCGTGGGCCATTGCTCGAAATTCTGCTTCAGCACTTGATCTAGCCACTACACTCTGTTTTTTACTCTTCCAAGTCACTAAGTTTCCACCAAGGAAGGTGCAGTATCCAGTAGTTGATCTCCTATCTACCACTGACCCTGCATAGTCCGCATCCGTATATGCTTCAAGACTTACACTCTTATTTCGTTTGAACAAAATCCCTCTTCCGGGCCCTTTCAAAAGCCTTGCCAGAGCATGAATTGGCCTACCGTAGGGCACAATTCAGATTGTTGGAACCAAATAGAGACGGGCACATCTCCCTTGATAATTTCAAAATGGTTTTCTACCGTCGCTAATAAAATCCTTCAGTATTTATTTATATGTAGCTGATATAGAAAACTGTAGTTTTCACATTCACTACTCTTCGTAGTTCAAACCCAAGAAACCGGTAGTCTTGGGCCCTTTAACATATAGTTTCAAGATTCAGGGAAAAAACTGTTGGGATTCATCCCAAGTCCCACATCGGTAAAATGAAGGAACATTGGCTAGTTTATAAGTGTCCACCATTCCACATAGTATGAGGCCTTTTGGGAAGGAGCACAAAAACAAAACCGTGCGGGCTTGGGCCCAAAGCGGACAATATCATACTATGGTGGTGCAAAAGGTGGACAATCGGGCCCAACAAGTGGTATCAGAGCCAACGGTTCGTCTGGGTTTGATGCGGGAAGACCCTCAGTGTTGTGCCTCGCGATGGAGATTCGGTACAAGATGGTGACGGATTATCGCTTGAGGGGAGGAGATCACGAGACATGTGGTCCTTGGTCTGAGGGGAGGTTTGTTGGGATTCATCCCAAGTCCCACATCGGTAAAATGAAGGAACATTGGCTAGTTTATAAGTGTCCACCATTCCACATAGTATGAGGCCTTTTGGGAAGGAGCCCAAAAACAAAACCGTGCGGGCTTGGGCCCAAAGCGGACAATATCATACTATGGTGGTGCAAAAGGTGGACAATCGGGCCCAACAAAAACAGAAGAAAAAAAACATAGAGATTTAGAGATTTTTTGTGGAATTATTTTGGTTTCATTTTTCTTTCATGGTGGGGGAAAGAAAATTATGTGTACATGAATGTGTTAGCGAGTGAGTACAGGGAATGTGGGGTCGATTATATGCCAAATTGATCCTTCGCAAATGATATGTTCCTATGGGTCTTGATCCCATAAATATTCATTAATTTGTGAATGTTTTAAAAGATTACATATAGTCAAAATTAAAGCAGTTTGAATCCAAATTAGTCGTTTATTGTCGTCAATGATATATTTGTTTTTTTTTTTCTTCCACAGTAAAATAACTTATTATGTACATATCCTATTGTCGTATCTTATGATATTGGTATTTCATCCTTGGAAATACTTATAGTGAGTGCATTGGTTCAGGTACCAGATAGTTGGCCATATCAGGAGGCTCGTCAGCTTTTTAAAGAACCAGTGGTCATAACTGATGAAGAGGAACTTAATATTAAGTGGTCTGCTCCTGATGAAGAAGTAATTAGTATTCTGTTTGAGAACTTCAAATATCCTTTCAAATGCATGTGGATTCACATATACAGACATACATATATTTGTCCTATTTATATCTTCTGCATTTGATTAAGTATGGATAGTTTTTCATAGCTCATGCAATGGTAAATTTGGTCAAATTGGCAAAACCCTGTTTAATCATTGTCTGGCAGACTGGCACTTGACTTGTTTACTTTGTCCATCTGATTGATTTATATGTGCTTGTTTACGTGTTGCAACCCAAAATAGTGGTAAAATTCAGAAAGAATCTAAAAAAATAAATGAAGCTTTTTTTTTTTTTAATTTACTCTACATCGGTTTCCAGCAATGTAGATTTGTGAACACATCTACATTGGTTGTTGGTATAACCGATGTAGAATAGTGGTAAAATCTATATCAGTTTTACTTACAACCGATGTAGATTTGTACGCAAATTTACATCGGTTTTTCTGACAACTGATTTAGAAGTGTTTGTGTTTTCTAAATCGCTCTATTCTACATCGATTTTGTAACCGATGTAGATTACCTTCCAGAACCGATGTAAATAATACATCTTATAGTAGATTTTATGCCAGAACCTGGCATACATACCTAACTTATTCCAAAATAATTCAAAACCGCGGCTACTCTTTTGTGATCGGAATAGAAAATGACATATTAAGAAATCTATTGATTTGTCCAATTATTTCTGATTAAGTAAACTAATTAATTGGGACTATTATGGAACTATGATGAAGTAATAAGGGACTTTGGGTTGCTTGTGTCTTTCCCATCTTCATGGGATGCATTTTGTTGTAATTATTCATTAGTTGGCCATTATTAAGACATCAACAGATTTAGATATGCACAATGGTAATAGTCAAGAAAATGAAAGTCATCAACTATCCCAGTAACTAAGATTGGGCAATTGAGTATAAGACTCAGAAGAATACTACTCTTGTCATTTATTTATTTATCATTTTTTGTTTATTGTACTTTTTATTTTGTTTACAATTCTTTCTAGTACTACAACACAAATAGGTTTTAGCAACATTTGAAAAATGTTACTTAATTATGTTTAAATGTTACTAATTTACTTTAACAACATATTATCAAATGTTGTATATAGTTCATGTTGTTAAAGACTTTTAATAACATTTTTATATAATTAGGCAATATTTTTTAAATGTTAGCAAAGTAGTATTTTTGTAACATTTTAATGATGTTGCCAATATTTTGTTAATTTTATAAAATAATAATTAATTTTAATTTAGATATATTACTATCAATTATTATATTTTTATGTCTCTTAAACTCTTAGGAGTTCTTTGAGAGAAGATAGGCATTTTTAATTAACTATATGGTTATATATACTGTTTATGAGTCATTGATCTATTCGATGTGAGACTTTAATTATGGGTAATAATTAGAGATAAGAGAAATATTTTTTTTTACTCGATGTGGGATTTTGATTTTAGAAGTAATTATAGCAACATTTTAAAAAAAATGTTGCAAAATAATCTATGTGAAATTTTTTTACTTAATATGGAACTTTGATTTTGAAAATAATTTTAGAAAGAATAATATTGAAATAAAAATGTTACTCTATCTATAATGACATTTTTTTTTTTAAAATGTTGCAAAATAACCTATTTGTTTAATATATAATAACATTTTAACAAATGTAAATAAAAAAATGTTGCTAAAGAATTAAAATCTAGTAGTGTAGATTCTCCAAAGAACCTTTTAGGTTATACCTTTCCTCCGTTATATATAATTTAACTTATTTATTTATTTTAGCATATAGACACTTTGATACTTTGTATAGGTGTTTGAGTCATCTTTAATCTCATGAAATTTTTGTGAATGAAACGTATTTAAATCAAAGGTAGAATCTTTGTTTATGTTGTGGGTATAATGCGACTACACCAAATTTAAAACCTTTCTTATTATGATTAAATAATTCTTCTTATTCTCAAAGGTATAGGCTAATTTGTTTTTCTAATTTGAGTTCTAATGAAACAAGAATATTAGTATTTGGCTTAAAGGAGTAACAAGTGTTGAACAAAACAATTTCAAGTTGATTATTTAGCAAGTGACTAAGAAAATTAAAAATACCTTGATTGTGTGTCAACATCCAGATGAAATCATACAATTATAAGAATGATGCATAACCAATTGAATATAAAAGAATGTAGACACTCAATCATGTTATTTGTAGATCTTACTGATTAAGCTTTTTGATAAACAGAGACAATTTATGTCAATTTCCAATCTCTGAAAAATAAATACAAGCATTAACGATTATTTCATCTCTACCATTATTATAAAATATTTTGCTTTTTACCGAATAGAGAAAATTACTAATTAACAATTAAAATTGTGTTCATATGAAATTCACATACAACACAATGGTCAATAAAAGAGAACAATGCAACAGTTACTCAAAATAAATAAATAAATAAATATATATATATATATATATATATATAT